CATTGATTCCAATGCAGACTACAAGCTATAGAATAGAAGAATTATTGGATCCCAATGCAGATTACGAACTATAGCTTAAGGGTGGAGGTTGCACAGCAAGAGTCTGACGGTTTGGTCAACCGAGGAAGGAATACTGTTATTTTTTTAGCATGCTACTTGACAGGAGGTAAACATGGATGGTTTTTGAAACAACAGCAGCAGTCAGCTTGCGTATAAGACAGTAGTATAAGGCCACTTACATCGAATTCCCCCCGGAAAGACGCCCCGTAGACGAGTATCTTCTTCGGGACGCAGCCACGTATCACGCACCTAAACGCCGCGAGCACGCGTAGATAGATTCAGAGCGTAATTCAAGCAACAGAAACACAGAGAGCGCAAGTAATTCTGGATTGTTCTTACGTTCCGCCGTGTCCTCCCAGCCACTCGGAGCTGATGGGGTGGAACGGGAGCTCGCAGATCGCAACCTGCACGAAAATCACCTCAGAATTTCAACCAGCCGAATCTCAGCTGAATAACGAACCGCAGGATGCGGGGGGCGAGGAGGGGAAGCAAGCGGAGGTGGGGCGCAGACCTTGGCCCCGAATCCGGCGGCGGTGCGGGAGCCGCGGACGCCGCCGCTGCCGGCGCCGATGACGAAGAGGTCGTAGTCGTAGGTCCCGCCGTCGTCGGCGACGAGGGGCGCCTCCCCGTCCTTGAGCATCTTCCGCGCCATGGCCTTGACTCCGGTCAGCCGCAGAACCCTAGGTGGATGGATCCCGGAGCGGAGGAGAGCAGGTGGGGGCGGCTACGCTGGCTGCTACGGGATTAGAGGATGGACGGATTGGAAACTTGTCCCCTCCGGCTTAAATTCGTTTCCTGATGGGAGACGTGGAGCCGACCCGCTTCGCGTCGCCCGCCACCGGTTCTCCACGGCTCCACGAGGTAACAGTGTCTTCACAACATCAGACGCCACTTATATTAGCATCTGAACTTCTCAAGGAAAATAAGTAGTACTCGTACTAGTACAGCATCTGAACTGAGTGCCTAATCGTTTACATCAGCGGTGACAAGTCGAAGGAGAGAGGCATCAGCAGTGACATGGCCGTCCTCTCGGATCTCCTGTGGTGGTGACGTGTTCAGGCGGCCGGTGAAGGGACGACCTCTGATTGGTGTATTCGGACCCAGACTGCATTTTCAAAATGCAACCGTGCATAGTTGTTTTTCTCCAAACAGAGACAAAAGATATCCCTCATCTCATTGATAAAGTAAAAAATGTGAGTTTAACAGGGTTCTTACGGAGCTCCATCACACCTCACAAAGAAAAAGACTACTCTCGTAGCTTGAGTAAACTCAAGTGCTTCGCCCCTGTGGAAACCCAATTCTTGGGCCGCTCATTCTTGATGCGGCCAATGTTTATTGGCGGCATCGTAGACTTGTTCCTACACACCCTCATATTTCGCTCATTCCGCAAACTCCCAAACAACAAACACCAGGAGTGAGGCCATCGGGCGTCTCCTATGCCCACCACGCAGAACCATGGGTTCTTACAAAAGCATGAATCGAGGGGAGCGTGTGCCAGGCAGCGGTGTCGGTCTCTGGCGTGTCGATCCAAGATTTGGCAGCGTTCCAAATTCTGACAGAGAACCTACACTTGAACAGCATGCGGTCCGCCGACTCGGGATCGTACTTGCAAAGTTGACATAAAACCGCACTTGGGCCACCCTCACCTCTCCAAACCCGATTGCCCCAAACTATCGGCACCACGACGGTGTCAATTGTCCCGACGAACTGAACCTCGTATGTCGACGTCGCGGAGTATCTGATGCTAGTAGTCATCTTCTAAACATTGTCGTCGGCGATGTCATCGCGGAGTTGCAGTAATTCCAGACTTGCCCAAAGGGCGCAAAATTGTACGATCTGGTTGACCGAGAGGCCACAAGTCATGCCAATCTTCCTGAGCATGCCAATCAAGGGCATGCAAAAGCATCCCACACAGAGAGAGGCTCGTGCCAGTGGAGATGTCAAAAATCAGGGGCGCATCATCGCTAGGCTTGTCTGCAAGAAGCCACGACGAGTTCCAAAACTTTGCGATCTGGCCATCACCCAACATAGCGGCATAGAAGAGGTCCATGTCCACCTTGCTGCAAAGGCATTCGTAGTTGAACCAAGGCCCGATCCACTCCGTCCATTCGTAGCATGGCCAAGGCAATCCAGAACGCCCGAGCATACTTGCGCAGGTCCAAAAGCCTCCATACTTCTTCGGCCTACAGACCAGCTTCCCACTCACCTTGCATTGACCACCGGAAACCTTGCCGGATCCCACACAGAGAAAGGCGCGCCGAAGCTTCCCCAGAACCATAGATTTCAATCGGCAGGATTTTTTGTTATGGTCATCTTGAATCGCATTAATAATGACTAAAGGAAAGGGGTTGACCGGTTGAGGGAACATATAATCAATTTTTATTCTTTGTGAAAAAAGTCAGACGTGCCATGTCGCAATCCACACCTCTGAACAACATCGAAAATAGTTCTGTTGTAAGTTTATGGTTTCCGCACGACATATTCTTGTTTTCCTTACGTAGAATTCGAAAGGGAACGACTATATGTAAATCAAATGATTTTCTTTTGTAAGCCACTTTTTCTCTGATTCATGTTACTCCTAGTTTTTCCTTTATTTATTTATTTAGTACTCTCTCCGTAAATTAATATAAGAGGATTTAGATCACTAGTTTACAAAGGGAGTACACATGTAAACTTGCACACACCTTTACAGCTTTTCCAAGAAAAAACGCGTCACCGAAATGGCTGTCACAAGCGGCTATCAAAGGCGACCATGGAGCGCGCGTTGAGTCCTGGTGTGCTGCGAGACGCAGGCTGCTCCGCGTGTTGGTCCCCGTGTTCAGTGAATCTAGACGTGTACGTATCTAGCTACACAAAACGCATTTTTTTCCGCCTCTCTTGTTTTCAGACAAGGTGGCTGGTGGAGGCACGCTCGAGAAGTGGAGACGGATGGATGAACGATGGACCCATGTGGGCATGTGGGCATGTCGCCCGATGGATCACTCGCCGCACCAACACACCACGCACAGCACAAGCGTCTGCCAAAACGTCTCCACCTGACAGTCGTCGACCAGTGGGACCAGGCGCTAATGCCGAGCCGCCTCCTATGAGGACACTGGATGAAGGCTCAGCCCAAATCCGATCGTTGGAGTCTCGAGGTGGGCCTGCCTGATGCGAAGAACAATCTTGTACCGCTGGCGTTTGCTCCGTCTTTGCCGTACTGCGGCAACACAAGACAAGCTCGTCAGGGAAGATAGATGGTGGGGTGCTGGTTGCGTGAGTATAAAGGATGTTGGAGATGGCGAGAGAGCAACCATGGGGTGGTGGCGCAGCGATCCTGGGCCGGCGGGCCTAGAGGATAAATATGTCAGAGCTAGTGAGTAATCCTGAGGTCTAGAGTTCGAGCCTCTCTCGCCCCAAATTTCTTTTCTTTTTCTTCCCTATCTGCCTTTTTTATAACAAGGACTGAATCATTAATCGTACACCAATTGGGGTGGTGGCGCAGTTGGCTAGCGCGTAGGTCTCATAGCTAAAATATGCGAGTGATCCTGAGGTCGAGAGTTCGAGCCTCTCTCACCCCATTCACTTTTTTTTTTTTGCCGTTGCAACTTCTCTTCAGTTCAGTCGAATCAGTTTTATGTTCTGCCGTTGCAACTTCCTTTCAGTTCAGTCGAATCAGTTTTATGTTCTGCCGTTGCAACTTCCTTTCAGTTCAGTCGAATCAGTTTTATGTTCTTCCTTTGCAACTTCTCTTCAGTTCAGTTGAATCAGTTTTATGTTATTCTACCAATGAACTTCACAGTCGGGCAGAGGAAAAAACTTTTCTTTCACATAGTTTTCATCAAAGATTTGTGCTTCTTTTCAAGTCCAATTTTATATTCTCATAATCATCGCAGCCCGCCAGAAGGAAATACGAGTGGCAAACTAAATGCTCGCAGCCAGGGCAAAGAAGAGAGCGACTATATACGAAGAGATTCTGCATTACGAAGGTCTTTCCTGACTCTTGCGAAAGATATCAACACCGCTGCTTGCTACGAAAGCGGTGTCTAGTGGACTTTTCCTAGTAAAAGTGTGTGGCCTTTTTCTTTCCTTATTAATCATTATCTACTCTCTCCGTTCCTAAATATAAGTCTTTTTAGACATTCCAATACTGACTACATACAGAGCAAAATGAGTGAATCTACACTCTAAAATATGTCTACATACATCCGTATGTAATCCTTATTGAAATCTCTAAAAAGACTTATATTTAGGAACGGATGGAGTATTTCACAAAAGCAGTGTATGACCTTTGCAACATGTAAATCGATTCTTGGTTCCTCGACAAAAAAAATCAATTATTAGAGATTCTCAAGCCTTCTTCTGCATATTCTCAGAAAGAAAGGCATCCAGATGTGAGTGAAGCACATGTATGGCATTTTAACACCTCATTGTCCATCTTCTCTTTCTAGATGCAAAAGAACCTTTTGTGCATTGCCGACAAGAGAAAGCAGATGCAAAGCAGCCACGGGCCACAAGGATCTCAACATAACCAGATGCCAAGTACTCCCTCCGTTGCAAAATAGATGACTCAACTTTGTACTAGCTTTGAGTCAAAGCTAGTACAAAGTTGAGTCATCTATTTTGAAAAAGCTAGTACAAAGTTGAGTCATTTATTTTGAAACGGAGGGAGTAGCCACTAGACACAAAGATCTCAACATAACCAGATGCTGCAAACCTGCTAAACCAAAGCCCCACCGACGGCAGCCACCGCCTCTAGTTACATTACACTTTCCAAACCAAAATGTCGGTCACTAATCACGAGTCATCTACGCAGCATGCTCTGTACAAGAGGTTGTCCGCAGAATTTGCAGCGAAAGGAGAAGTGTTCAAAAACACACACATTGCAGAAGACATGCTTTTCCTTGTTATTCATTTACTTTTGACCCGGGCGGGTTGAATGAATCCTGGGAGCGCCTTGCTCAGCCCGATTTCTTATGTCTGATCTCGATGCCCTGCACGATGAGGCCGCTCTTCCACCTCCCACTTTTGGTCTCCGTCAGGCTGATGGACACCTCGCTGTCGTCGCCCCCCTCGCTGAAGAACTCGCCCAGCTCCAGCTCCAGCCACCCGTCGGCTCTTTTCTGAGGGAACGTGACATTCTCTTTGTGAGATACTACGCGCCTGTCCGTCAGCTCCCTATAGTACTCGTCGCCGTCCTCATCCTCCTCCTCATCGTCCTCGTCCTCCTCATCCTCTTCATCCTCATCCTCCTCCTCATACTCGTACTCGTACTCGTACTCGTCCTCGTCCTCGTCCCCGTCGTCAGCTTGTAGGCAAACCTTGCGGGTCAAGTTGGTTGCTCCGAAACTGACCGATGCCTCCTGGACAGGAAAATTCAGCCCATAGGAATTTTCGTCCATCTGGAAGACCATGTAGGCAGCATAGGTTGTGCCTTGGGAGAGCATCTTGCCATGTATCTTCCCCTGGATCTCGAACCAGCAAACATTCAAGAGTTCAGCACCTTCGGAGAACCTGTGGCGAACATATGGTTAGAACTTGTAAAGAAGACGAAAACCAGTCAACAACATGAGTTGAACTGAATCTCAAATACTCAAAAGAAGTCTACAGTGAACAAGGTACACCATTGAGTCGTATTCTCTAGTCATTTATGACTATTTGTAAAGGGCGTGCGCTTTGCTTTTGAAAGTAATGAAAATAAAAGCAAATGCTTATGTGTGAAGCAACAAGGACTTATCATGTACGGGAGTACTCTGATTTCAAAGTGAAACTGACTGCGACTTAACCTCTTTCAAATAACTGAAGATCGTTGAAAACCGATATCAAGCATTATTCCAAAATTTGCTAGTGAGGAACCATGTCGAAATCCCCATTCTGGGTTTTTATCCACAGGGTAGTTTAATCTTCCATCCTACAACTTACACTCCTGTGGATTGCACCAATCAACCACGAAATGAATTGCAATCGAGTGAGATCACAATGCAACAGCAAAATCAAATCAAATGCAGTTGCAGTCAGGTAAGAATAAGATAACAGCAAAGAAGCAGTCAGATAATAACAAGATAACAGCACAGAAACATTCACAGCACAAAATTCTCTAGTGTGAGCCAGTCACATCCTTTACACAAAGTGTGTTCTATGTGCTGCCTATAGTTCACATAAACAAAGCTGAAAAGGCCCTTAGCTTTTGAGAGTAAGGAATATAAAACTAGCACGAAAAGTTCGCTTATGTGTGAACTGTGAAGTAACCAGGACTTTGGAATGTAGAGCATTATTCCGGTATCCAAATGAAACTGACGTCAACTTGGTCCCTTTCAAACGGTTTCAAGATGACCAAAAACTGATTTCAAGCATTGTGCTTGTTCTAAAAACTTGCTGCCACCCGGGAACTATGCCGAAATCCCCTTTCTGGGTTTTGGGTTTTGGTTCACAGGTCCTTCCTACCAGTTACGCTGTTGCAGGTTGCACGAATTAACCTGGTCAAATTAATTGCAATCGAAATGGTGCGACCACGAATCAAATCAAATGCAATTGCAGTTAGATGAGAATAAGATCATCACCATGCAGCAACATTCAGAAACACGGAAGAGCGAACGAACCTGGAGTCTTGGAGTGGGATCCAGGTCCAGTACTCGGGCGTGTTCCCCCACACGATGAAGAGGTTCCTGGCGGACAGCATGTAGCATTTGGCGCCGGTCTCCCTGTCCAGCCACACGCTCTGCGGGCGCGCGGACAACCACCACCAATTGGTCAGCGATCGGCCGAGGAACCGAATCTGGTAGAGGAGTTTGGGGGATGGGCGTGCGCGCGCGTACCACGAGCTTGTCCTGGAGGAGGGCGGGGCCGGCGGAGAGGCGGAGGAAGAGCTCCTTCTTGGACGAGGGCGGGGCGGGGGCCGGCGGCTCCCCGTCGGCGAGCGGCGGGAGGCCGCCGGGGGGCAGGAAGCGGGCCCAGACGTCGTCGGAGTCGGCCGCGGCGCGGAAGGCCGGGGAGACGGCGGCCGCGCGGCAGGCGTCGCGCGGGGACGTGCGTGCCAGCGCCGCAGAGAGGAGCTCCTCCGGCAGGCGCGCGATCTCGCAGGCCTCCTCCATGGGTTCCTCCGTCCGTCCGCCGGCCGGCCGGTGTCTTCTGGTCCGAGAGTTGCGACTGGTTTGGGGGTGATGGTGATGGTGATGGGGATGGAGATCGCAGTCGCCACGGATTTGATTCTTGTATGTGTTCGGGTGTGGGCGTGGAGAACGCGGGCGGAGGCTTAGCGACGAAGCACGACGGAGAAGCAGCGGTTTGATTGTGGATTAATTTGGGCCAGTGTTAGGCGCCGGCAGACCGGCCGAAACACTGGGCCGGTCACGCCCCAGCCACAGGATAAACCTTTTGTTAGTCGTTAGATTAGGATACTCTTTGGTCTACCTCAGACCATGGGGTTTCTCCACGATAGAAAAAAAGAAGAAAGAGAGCAGCGCCCTGCTCGTCCTAGGCCGGCCATGCTTGCCGGCTATCCACAGGCACCCTCGGCTGGTCGAGGAGGCACACCGCATCAGGTCGCCGTCGTCATAGGCATGCGGATGTCGTCGTCCCCGTGCTTGTTAGCTGCTTGTGCCTTCTGCTGTTCTGCGCTCGCCCTCGGCTGGTTGCGGTGGCGCACCACAAGAGGTCGTCGTTGTCGTGGGCACGAGGTCATCATCGTCGGAGCCCTGGATGCGTCTGTTGCAGCACGGGGCTGCCGCCGTCCTAGGCTCCAGCATCCGATTTGGTGGTCGGGCATCGCGGGGCACAGTAGTAGCATCCACAGTGACCGGTTGCAACCTCCCGTGATGCATGTCGTAGCATCTTCGATGGGCGTAGGTGTCCGTTGTAGGGTAGCCGGAGACGTGCTGGTTCCAGCCAAAATCGCTGGGAACGGAAGTAGCAAATTGCATCTCCGGTAGTAGCAAACAATCAACAGGGATGCAGCAAAAAGGCCGCCGGCGAGCTTGGCGCCACAGTCATTGCTCGTCGCACTGATGGGCGCAGTTCGCGTCTTGGTAGTCCCCGCCATCATAGCTCTTGGCTTGCCGGTCGTAGCACCTCGCTAGTCATCAACATCTCATTCTCGCCCGACGTAACATCCCGTTTGCCGGTTGTAGGCTTGTAGCAAAATAGCTCGCCGTGTCCAGCAAACATGCTCGCCACTTCCAGCAAAAGTGATCATCATTGTAGCTCCACATGTGTCCGGTTCCAGCAAAATAGCTTGCTGGTTCCAGCACGTGGTGGTCGTGGATGCAAAATCTAGCCGTCGTCGTTGTGGTAGCATCCTGAATTGGCCGTGGTAGCATCCTGAAGAGGTCGTGGACGTAGCATCCTCAAGTGGCCGTCGTAGCATCCGCTGGCCATGGTTCCAGCACGTGGTGGTTGTCATGGCAGCATCCAGTGAGCGTTGTTGAAAGCTCCCTGACCATGGTTGCAGCTCACCAACGTGTTGGGGAACGCAGTAATTTCAAAAAATTTCCTACGCACACGCAAGATCATGGTGATGCACAGCAACGAGAGGGGAGAGTGTTGTCTACGTACCAACGCAGACCGACTGCGGAAGCGATCACACAACGTAGAGGAAGTAGTCGTACGTCTTCTTCCCGATCCGACCGATCCAAGCACCGTTACTCCGGCACCTCCGAGTTCTTAGCACACGTTCAGCTCGATGACGATCCTCGGGCTCCGATCCAGCAAAGCGTCGGGGAAGAGTTCCGTCAGCACGACGGCATGGTGACGATCTTGATGTACTACCGACGCAGGGCTTCGCCTAAGCACTACAACGGTATGATCGAGGTGGAATATGGTGGCAGGGGGCACCGCACACGGCTAAGGAACGATCTCAAGGATCAACTTGTGTGTCTTGGGGTGTCCCCTGCCCCCGTATATAAAGGTTGGAGGGAGGGGGCCGGCCGGCCAGAGAGAGGGAGGCGCATGGGGAGTCCTACCGGGAGTAGGACTCCCCCCTCCAATCCTATTCCAACTAGGACTCTCAAGGGGGAAAGGAGAGAGAGGGGTGCCGGCCCCTTCTCCTAGTCCTACTAGGACTTGGGGAAGGGGGGGCGCCGGCCAGCTATGGGCTGCCTCTTTTCTCTTTTCCACTAAGGCCCAATAGGCCCATTAGTCTCCCGGGGGGTTCCGGTAACCCTCCCGGTATTCCGGTAAAATCCCGATTTCACCCGGAATACTTCCTATGTCCAAACATAGGCTTCCAATATATCAATCTTTACGTCTCGACCATTTCGAGACTCCTCGTCATGTCCGTGATCTCATCCGGGACTCCGAACAACCTTCGGTACATCAAAATGCATAAACTCATAATAACTGTCATCGTAACGTTAAGCGTGCGGACCCTACGGTTCGAGAACAATGTAGACATGACCGAGACACGTCTCCGGTCAATAACCAATAGCGGGACCTGGATGCCCATATTGGCTCCTACATATTCTACGAAGATCTTTATCGGTCAGACCGCATAACAACATACGTTGTTCCCTTTGTCATCGGTATGTTACTTGCCCGAGATTCGATCGTCGGTATCCAATACCTAGTTCAATCTCGTTACCGGCAAGTCTCTTTACTCGTTCCGTAATACATCATCTCACAACTAACATATTAGTTGCATTGCTTGCAAGGCTTATGTGATGTGCATTACCGAGAGGGCCCAGAGATACCTCTCCGACAATCGGAGTGACAAACCCTAATCTCGAAATACGCCAACCCAACATCTGCCATTGGAGACACCTGTAGTACTCCTTTATAATCACCCAGTTACGTTGTGACGTTTGGTAGTACCCAAAGTGTTCCTCCGGTAAACGGGAGTTGCATAATCTCATAGTTATAGGAACATGTATAAGTCATGAAGAAAGCAATAGCAACATACTAAACGATCGGGTGCTAAGCTAATGGAATGGGTCATGTCAATCAGATCATTCTACTAATGATGTGACCTCGTTAATCAAATAACAACTCTTTGTTCATGGTTAGGAAACATAACCATCTTTGATTAACGAGCTAGTCAAGTAGAGGCATACTAGTGACACTCTGTTGGTCTATGTATTCACACATGTATTATGTTTCCGGTTAATACAATTCTAGCATGAATAATAAACATTTATCATGATATAAGGAAATAAATAATAACTTTATTATTGCCTCTAGGGCATATTTCCTTCAGTCTCCCACTTGCACTAGAGTCAATAATCTAGATTACACAGTAATGATTCTAACACCCATGGAGCCTTGGTGCTGATCATGTTTTGCTCGTGGAAGAGGCTTAATCAACGGGTCTGCAACATTCAGATCCGTATGTATCTTGCAAATCTCTATGTCTCCCACCTGGACTAAATCCCGGATGGAGTTGAAGCGTCTCTTGATGTGTTTGGTTCTTTTGTGAAATCTGGATTCCTTTGCCAAAGCAATTGCACCAGTATTGTCACAAAAGATTTTCATTGGACCCGATGCACTAGGTATGACACCTAGATCGGATATGAACTCCTTCATCCAGACTCCTTCGTTCGCTGCTTCCGAAGCAGCTATGTATTCCGCTTCACATGTAGATCCCGCTACGACGCTTTGTTTAGAACTGCACCAACTGACAGCTCCACCGTTTAAAGTAAACACGTATCCGGTTTGCGATTTAGAATCGTCCGGATCAGTGTCAAAGCTTGCATCAACGTAACCTCTTACGGTGAGCTCTTTGTCACCTCCATATACGAGAAACATATCCTTAGTCCTTTTCAGGTATTTCAGGATGTTCTTGACCGCTGTCCAGTGATCCATTCCTGGATTACTTTGGTACCTCCCTGCTAAACTTATAGCAAGGCACACATCAGGTCTGGTACACAGCATTGCATACATGATAGAGCCTATGGCTGAAGCATAGGGAACATCTTTCATTTTCTCTCTATCTTCTGCAGTGGTCGGGCATTGAGTCTTACTCAACTTCACACCTTGTAACACAGGCAAGAACCCTTTCTTTGCTTGATCCATTTTGAACTTCTTCAAAATTTTGTCAAGGTATGTGCATTGTGAAAGTCCAATTAAGCGTTTTGATCTATCTCTATAGATCTTTATGCCCAATATGTAAGCAGCTTCCCCGAGGTCTTTCATCGAAAAACTTTTATTCAAGTATCCCTTTATGCTATCCAGAAATTCTATATCATTTCCAATCAGCAATATGTCATCCACATATAATATCAGAAATGCTACAGAGCTGCCACTCACTTTCTTGTAAATACAGACTTCTCCAAAAGTCTGTATAAAGCCAAATGCTTTGATCACACTATCAAAGCGTTTATTCCAACTCCGAGATGCTTGCACCAGTCCATAAATGGATCGCTGGAGTTTGCATACTTTGTTAGCTCCCTTTGGATCGACAAAACCTTCTGGTTGTATCATATACAACTCTTCTTCCAGAAATCCATTCAGGAATGCAGTTTTGACATCCATCTGCCATATTTCATAATCATAAAATGCGGCAATTGCTAACATAATTCTGACGGACTTAAGCATCGCTATGGGTGACAAGGTCTCATCGTAGTCAACCCCTTGAACTTGTCGAAAACCTTTCGCGACAAGTCGAGCTTTATAGACAGTAATATTACCATCAGCGTCAGTCTTTTTCTTGAAGATCCATTTATTCTCAATTGCTTGCCGATCATCGGGCAAGTCAACCAAAGTCCATACTTTGTTTTCATACATGGATCCCATCTCAGATTTCATGGCCTCAAGCCACTTTGCGGAATCTGGGCTCACCACCGCTTCTTCATAGTTCGTAGGTTCATCATGATCTAGTAGCATGACTTCCAGAACTGGATTACCGTACCACTCTGGTGCGGATCTCACTCTGGTTGATCTACGCGGTTCAGTAGTATCTTGTCCTGAAGCTTCATGATCATCATCATTAGCTTCCTCACTAATTGGTATAGGTGTCGCAGAAACAGTTTTCTGTGATGTACTATTTTCCAATAAGGGAGCAGGTACAGTTACCTCGTCAAGTTCTACTTTCCTCCCACTCACTTCTTTCGAGAGAAACTCCTTCTCTAGAAAGTTTCCGAATTTAGGAACAAAAGTCTTGCCT